ATCTAGATCGCATCGCTCTCCGTTCTCCTTCTTTCTGGCGGCCACATCTACCTAGCTAGGCCTTTGGCCGAGGCTGGAGGAGAGCTTCCTGCCCCACTCTGCCCTCGCGTGAGGGATACAGGGCCGCCGTGTCATGCTCGCCCGGAGTGGGGCCGTCGTCCGACCACTTCTTCCTCCTCTGGCTTCGCGTCGACCTCTTTGTCGATCCTTGACGATTCGAGGTTGGAGGCCTCTTCTCTGCCCTTTCTTGAGTCTTGCGAGAGTCTCCGGCTAGGGCGTGTCATTTTCTCCCTGGCTTCGGAGGTGGTCGTCGACCCGCCTCGTTTTACCTCCAATCTCGAGAGCCTAGTGGTCTGCATGAGCTTTGATCTCGCACCTTCAATTCCGCATCCAGGGAGGGGAGTTCGTTCGGCTACTAATAGCCTGGCGTTCCCTCCTTGGGTCTCGTCTTTGATCCCTCCGACATTTCATGGCGGCTCCCTCCCCCCGGTGTTGAAGTCCTTCAAAGCTCAGATTTTGACCGAGGCTTGACTCCTTGCCAGATCTGTCTAGGTTGTTCGATTTCGGCCGCAGTTTTCGGATCTGGGGTCTAAGTTTGTTGCTTGGTTGGCTTATGTGTTGTGGAATGTGTTTCGGTTGTAGGTTTGAGAGTTTGTTCGATTACCCGATAAGTTTAGGGAAGGTCTTACTTTATTTATTTATTAGGTGTGTTTTGTTTCTTGTCTTTTATTGATTTGTTTTGCTTAATCCAGTGGTGTTTGGTTTAGTCTCTTATATGGAGTTAGTGTCTCCTTTTTGGAGCTTTATTTTGCGGTTGCTTGTCTCATTAGTACAGTTTGTACCGCCTTGGGTGTTATTACAAGGGGGTTGGTCCAGACTTTGTTCTAGTTCCAGTGTGTCACTTGACACTTTGGTTGTACTCTTTTAAGTTTTTAAGTTATTATTATAATTGTCGTTTGAAAAAAGAGAGAGAAAGATTTGATTGACATTGTGAAAGCCACGAAAATTTGTCAAGGGTAATAAACTGCAGAGAAAAGCACCACTAGTTGTGAGATAACAGGTCGGATTAACAGGCTATAATACAGGGGCCTGATATGAAAAAAAAAAGTGAACTACCGACCCGAATCAAAATCAAAATCCACAAAGTTTGGACTCAAACCAACTTTCTTCAAACTCTCCTCCTCGACCAGTGCATTTTACTTCGATCCTCAGCAAGGAGATTCACCAACTGACCGTAAAACTCCTCGCTCAGTTCAGGGACTTCACCTCGTATTGAAACAGACAGGGTCGACCTGTTAGCACAGAAATAAAATGCAAATACACTTTCCAGTCAGAAATTTAGTCATCACAGATGGAGTGTCGGCCATATCTCCAATCACCACCATATCGGGGGTCTACCAAGCCCCACCAACCCATAACCACTCATTCTGGAAGCCATGTAGAGTGTCCTAAAATTTGGCGACCAAGTCTTTGTCGATCCCCAACCTGACCGCACAATAGTAATACCTAGATTTTTTGGTTGTCTCTTTAAAAGTAAAAACACCTTAGATTTCCTCGGGAGTAGGAGCTGACCACCATCTTTCGAGAAACATCACGATCAACCCTATCACTTTGGCCCACGCGCTTAGCACTCTTTGGCTAAGCCATACACCGACCTCACGAACGACTTTGGTAAGGAGGTCGGGTAAGGGAAATCTCAAGTTGGACATCATGCTTTGTTTAGAGACACTGATGTAGCCTGGTGGTGGACAGTGAGTTCGTTCACCTGGGTAAGGGGGAGAATAACTCGACCGACGAGGAAACTTGGATCCCGTTCCTTAGTTTAACAATCTTGGCATCGTTCATAATATTGGCTGTGTTTTCCTTAGCCAGATGGCTGGTCCTCAGCCAAACTCAGTACGACATTCTCGGAGAAGAAAATAATGAAGATTTACAACAATCTATATATATAATAAGAATTAACATTTACCATAAATAGTAATAAGGAAAAGTCAAACCACATTTATTATATACTATTTTCAGTAATTTTTTTTATTTTACATTTTAATTTTAATTCATTATCAAAAAATTGGATGATTCCTAAATTAATGGGTTTTAGATGCACGTATCCTGTTTCAAAAATTATAAATCATTTAAAATCGGATGGTTCCTAAATTAATGGTTACAACCTTTCAAAGTTGTAATCTTTATGGCATCTTTTCTTTTTGACTTTTAATAATAAATCATTTTAAATATATATATTCTAATCCAAAAAATCAATCATGTTAATATATATATATATATATATTGAACGGTAAAAATATTTTTTAAATTGCATACCCAATCAATTAATCTAGAGCCCAAAGGGCGATTAGACTACACCCCTTGTAAAGGGGGAAAGAAGGGCTTTTTAAGCCCGTTTCGAGCTATATTCCTTCCTTTTCTGCTTGACTTCCTTATCGTCACTCCTCTCCTCCTAAGACCTAAAATCCCGCTTCTATTGATTCAACTGGGATCGGTAAAGAACCAAGGTATCTATTTCGCTTAGCTTCGAAATCTCATACATATTAAATGTATCGTAGCATAGCTACTCTAAACGAGAGTTCGCCAATCGCCTTCTTACTTGAAGGTTGTTATTACTTCTGGGCAACTTCCCTTCCCCGTATGGTCGACTATTTCATTCCTCTCGAAAAAGAATAAGGGACAGCTGACGAAACCTTCCTGTTTCCTTTCACCCGAGAAAGGGCAATTATCATCGCGCCTTATTATCTCATTCACAATTACACTAGTTTAGTCTAGTGGCTGAACCCTCCTTGATTTTTTTTAAATTACTATGTTTATTTTTTATTAGTATGCATAAAATAAAAATAAATAATTCATTTTAGATATATAATTTATAATCTTAATATACTATCATTTGGTGTAAACATATGAATCATAAATTTTTTTTATTTCATAAAATTAAATATTATATTTAAAGAAAATAAGGAAATTACTTTGGATCAATCGGATGATTGAATTAGGGTACTGCCCACGTTGATTGAATTACTTTTAGGTGATATTTAAAATAGTAAAAAAAACTTGACACAACTTGGTTAGTCCCAGGTAACTAAGTAATGTATCAGTTTGACCAGACCAAATCGATTATTGAACCTAAATATAAATTTTAATATTGAAAATACTTTATTACGTGAATGTGATGTAGTCCAAACTTCAAATAATCATATTAACAATACTTTTATGACAACATGATTAATGATTTATGAATATTTATATATCATTTTATTATTATTTATGTGAACAAAATAATTATTTTATTAATGTACGGTAAATATAAGGTTTTCAGAACCTGACCGTCATCGAAATGATCAAGTTATTTTATTAAATGATTTGTGGTTGTTCATATTTTAATACATAATACTTTAATATATATATATATATATATATATATATATATAAATAATCATATTAACAATACTTTTATGACAACATGATTAATGATTTATGAATATTTATATATCATTTTATTATTATTTATGTGAACAAAATAATTATTTTATTAATGTACGGTAAATATAAGGTTTTCAGAACCGGACCGTCATCGAAACGATCAAGTTATTTTATTAAATCATTTGTGGTTGTTCATATTTTAATACATAATACTTTAATATATATATATATAGTACTTTTTGTAATAAATTTCAATAAAAAGTGTTACTTAAATATCTAAACAATTTAAAAATTCAAATGTTTAAACTAATTAATAAACAATTTATAAATCTCTATTTTATTTAAATATGTAACTTTATTTAAAATAATTTTTAATGTAACAAAATTTGTTTAGAAAATCGTATCGATCCTACCAGTCCAAGAGACTAGTGTTGACGGATTCGATAGCAAATATTTTATTCAAGCGCACTAGACTGGTTATAAACCGGTTCTCGGTCCATCCGGTCGGACTGTGTCCAACCCGATTTAATTTAAAAATAATAAATAAATGATGATTAATGTTATTTATTTATTTAATTTATAATACAATCAAAATATTGTTTTTCCGTGCATCGCACGGGCCACGCACTAGTATTGACATAAAAGATGAGAGAAATTTGAATGTGGAAAGAGAAATTTCATTAAATTAAGACAATTATCAATTGAATGCAACTACCTTAATAATTATCTTTAAAGAAATGTAAGTTAAAATTTAAGAAAATTTAGTATATATGCGGATATTTATTCAGATTTTGTATACGTGCAAATAAAAAATTATGTTAATATATATATACAATATTTTATGTTTTGATTATTGTGTGAGGGTAATTTTCTCTTTTTCTTGTTCTTTTTGGTTGATTATTATTGGGCATGAAAGCCCATGTAGGTATGTGTTTTGTGAAGTCAATATATATCATGTGAACTTGTATTTCTTACAAATAGAAAATCACCATTCAACAAAAATCCTTGAATGTCTTTGAGATAATTACCCACCGCACGACCCCATTTAGTCTTATTTATATTTATACGACCCCATTTTTTTCATTGGCATATGTACGTCATCTATTTCCTCCTTTCCCTTTCAATATTCTCCACTCTTTCACTTCCAAAATCTCTATTTTTCACGTATCAAAAAATTTTTAATTTCCATTCATTTTTTCTCTTCCAAAATCCAAGATCCCCAAACCCTAAACGAGCAATTAAGTAAAGCCGGACAAGATCTTCCGCAGCCGCATCGCAGCGAACAAAGGCAGATCTTGGCCGCTTCCCAGAGGCCTTCAATCAGAATCTGTCGTCAGATCTCTGCATAATTTGGTCGCCCCTTCGTACCTCCACCAGAGAACCACCTTTAGTCGTCGATCTCCACCTTAGAGACATACACAAAGTCCGAGATTCAGATGGCCAGTGCCTCGCCACGCCGCCGCCTGCTGCGGTTGACCCACGGGATCGGATAAGAAACCCTGGCGTGGAAGAACGGGCATGTCTGGGCTATTCGACCCGCCACTGTTTGATAAAAAATAGTTTGTTTATCAATTTTATATAATTTACTTCTCAATTTATGGGTTTATTTGTAGTTTAATTTGTGTATGCATGTTGTATATTTATTCTGAATATTTCCATGTCTATGGATAATATGAATGTGTTATTTTTTTATTTATTTTTGTTTATTTTGTGGTTTTGTTGTTTTTTGATGGGTTCTTGTATATGTTTTTTTAGATATTTTTCATAATTATAGAGATATGAATGGTTTCCATCTTGTTTATTTGTGGTTTCAAGATTTTTATTTGTTCCATTATTTCTGATGATCATGAAATATGAATGGTTTTCATCTTGTTTATTTGTGGTAGCAGGAATTTTTTTTTTGTTCCATTAGTTTATGATAATCATGAAGTTATAAGTATATTAATGGTTTTCATCTTGTTTATTTGTGGTTCCAGAATTTTTTTTTTTTGTTCAATAATTTCTGATAATCATGAAGTTATAGGTATATGAATGGTTTTCATCTTGTTTATTTGTGGTTACAGATTTTTTTTTCTTGTTCCATTAAATTCTAATAATCATGAAGTTATTGGTATATGAATGGTTTCCATCTTGTTTATTCGTGGTTCAAGAATTTTTTTTTGTTGCATTAATGTCTGATAATCTTGAAGGACTGGAGTAATTTTGTTTCCGTATTGATGGATATTCGTATTGTGGTATTAGAATTTTATAAATAACATAATTATATGATAAAAAATTGTATCTCGTTCAAATTGTATTGCTGCAAATTATAATCGCATGTGGTCTTTTATCCAATGTCTTTCGTGATGGAGAGATTGGAGTCTTTTCGCGCTCAACAGCGTGAATTTGGTGGCATCGTGTAAACATTCACTAATTTTTTATAGTAAGTTTTAAATGAAATATAGTGAACTTATGTCTGTAACTTTTTTTATTGCATCGTGGAAACATCCACTAATTATTTATAGTAAGTTTTGAACGAAATAATGACCTTATGTTGTAACTTCTTTTTGTTTAACTATCTTAAAATAATTTTTATTTGTTGAGTTGAATCTAAATTTTAATTTTCAATAGGACATTAATAAATATTTGGTCCCGGACCAAATTTAGCATAGCTCCTTCAAAACATTGTTCCAATTTGAGCAAGATAATTACGTGTTTTACATTCTATTCCTCTTGAAATTACGTACCTATTTTAGTTAGTGCCAACTGTTATATGGGTGTCGAGCAACACTAATCCGTCCCTTACTGAGACTATTACTAATAATGGTCAAACTTCACCAGGCTTTTCACAATTCTATGGAAAACAAATTCAAGAGCCTCAAGCATTATGATTATGATGCAACGCATCTCTACTTGATGGCATCATTGAATGATAAAAAGTGACATGGTATATAGGGTAATTAGCAATTTTATCACCAAAAGTACCATAGGATTAACTATTTGGAGAACATCTAAATTGAATAAATTAAAACATTATTTCTATTGAACCATAATTTTTTATTATAATAAACAGGATATTTTATATTAAAATGTTGATTTAATTATTAGGTCGATATATATTTGTTCATAGATATTCGTACTTTTATTAGAAATTATCTTATTTATAAAACAACATAAATAAATTTATGATATTAATAACATGAACATGCACCCGACTAATTATTAAATTACCTCACATAAACGATTTGTGTTTGTGTTGTGTATAATATAGTTCCGTTTTTAAAATGTTTATAAAAATTTATTGACCAAGGTAATTCAGTCCGCATAGATAACCAGCTAAAATTGTGCCACAAAGTCAATCATGCTGCCCCACTTTTTCCACAGAGACATAATTCTTAATTCCATTTTCATCTTTGGCTGAGCTCTTTCACTCTCTCCATATACTTTCCCCTGCTGTAAATGTGTAGTCTTGTGCGTGCCCTCATTTTCTGTTTACCTTAAATTTACTATTCATCATTCATACTCTTACCTCAGGTTCATCCATGGCAAACAAATCATTTTCCCTCTCTAGCTTTTCTGGTCTGCTTTTTCATCCTCTACTGACACTGACATTCCCAAATTTCTACCCACCATTGCACACCGACTTGTGCTTTTATTAGGGCATCTCCCAAGTCCCAATTTCCATCATTCGTTCCACCATTAATATAAAACCTCCGCTCACTTAAAAAGATTAGATTTTTGTCTGGCATTGTTTTTGAAAACAAAAGTTGCTTGCATATTGTTATAGTTTTCTTGAATTCCCTTTGGCCCACCACTGGCCGCCCTTTTTCTTCTAAACTACTCCTCTTCAGCTTCTTAGCTTTCTTTTGAGCTATTCCCTTTTATTTATTTCCTTCAAAGGTTCATTTTTTATTTTTTATTTTTATTTTTATTTTTGTCTGGGTATTTTATCTAGCATTGGCATCTATGCTATTGAGCCTCAGTTGCAAAAAAGATATTGTCTTTTCATTGCTTTTTTGAGATTTGAAGGAAGAAGATCAAGGGGGCAGATCACTAGCAAAGGTCAGAGTTTCTCTATGTAAATAACTTTTATGATTGGTTTGGTGCTCTCATCTCCTTATTTCTTGACCGCGTTTCTTTGGCTTCATTACTTTTTGTTCTCTGGATCTTATGCGAGGCTTTTTCTTTATTTGGAAATATACAATCCCCAAAATAGAGAAAAAAGCTCATGATTTGGAAATTGGTTTAAATTATGTGTTTCAGTTTGATGGGATGCTATTCTGTTTAATTTTTGAAAAATGTCATGACTTTTGTGGTAAGTTTGGCCTGATTCCTTAAAGGAAACCACATGGTGCGCATTACAGAACCGAATATGCTTTTACGCCTTGTGGTAGTAAGTAGTAACCAGTGACACATTCTGGCACTGTCTAAGCAGCCGTTGTTCGATTTGGCTGGGATTGATTCTGATTTATGACAAATAGTAGTTTTTTAACCTAACTAATGCACACTTGATGTTGTCAACATATATATTTCAATCAAGTGATTTATGGTAATGTGATTTGTGTGCAGTATCCAGGATTGAATGGATTTATTCTTGTTCTAAACTTGACTTAGCAGAGTTTTGCCTTTGCTTCAAGCTTGTGAAAATGTCATCTGGAAGTCTAAAAGCTGCATTATCAAAGAAATATGGTGATATAAAACTATGGGTCCTGATAGGCATATCCGTTGGCTCATTTATAGTTCTTATTCTGGGGTTCCTCTCAATATGGGTCATGTTCCGAAGAAAATCACAAAGAAACTTGGACAAATACAATCTCGTGCAAATCCCTAATGTCTCAAAGGAAATTAGAGTCGACAGTGTTGCGGACCAAAGCACACAAGAGGGTCTAATCTTGACTATCAATGATAAATCTAGTGGTAAGAATTCTGAGAAAACGATGGTTCATTTGGGAAGGAGTAAATCTAGTGATGTTGATGATGTCAGCCAGTGCAGTTCCATGCATCATCAAGAGAGGACATATAGCTCTCAATCGGGGGAAGAAGGAAGCTCGGGTAATGCTAGAAAGCAGTATTCTTCATCATATGCAATTGCAATGCCGTCTCCTTTAATTGGTTTGCCTGAAGCGTCTCAACTCGGGTGGGGCCACTGGTTCACTCTTAGAGATCTAGAAAATGCCACAAATCGTTTCTCAACAGAGAATGTTATTGGGGAAGGTGGTTATGGGATTGTTTATAGGGGCAGATTGGTCAATGGCACAGAGGTAGCTGTTAAGAAACTCCTTAATAATCTGTGAGTACCTGTCTTGTGTTTCGTTCTTACTGGAGATTGCAATAAAAGTCTTTTCTTTACTTATGCTTAACGGCTAATAGATAGTATTGTTGCAGTGGCCAAGCAGAGAAGGAATTTAGGGTCGAAGTTGAGGCCATTGGCCATGTTCGACATAAGAATCTTGTTAGGCTGCTCGGATATTGCATAGAAGGAGTTCAAAGGTTAGCTTCTTGGCATGATTGCACCTGAAGGCCATTTTCTAGATGATATGCTTAGCTTATATGATTCTGTTAATTATATGTGCAGGATGTTGGTATATGAATATGTAAACAATGGCAACTTGGAACAGTGGCTCCATGGGGCCATGAGACAACATGGCACCCTAACATGGGAGGCCCGTATCAAGGTTCTGCTTGGCACTGCAAAGGCGTAAGTCAATTTTTTAAAAATGGATAGTTTGACATGTTTTTTTAGTAACTCTAATTAGCAACCCATGGTGACCTAAATGTTTTTATGGGCATCTTGACTTTTGTGAATGAAGCAGAAACTTTTCGTAAGGCACACCTGATCTGAATTTTACCATTGCAAATATCTGTGGTTATTCTTGCTTATAAAGCATGTGTGTGAAAGAAACAATTTGACCAGAAATTTAAATTTCACTAGAATATCGAAGTAAATGATGCCATTGTTGTTCTGCAGACTTGCTTATTTGCACGAAGCTATAGAGCCAAAGGTGATTCATCGCGACATAAAATCTAGTAACATCTTGATTGATGATGAGTTCAATGCAAAAGTTTCTGACTTTGGGTTGGCTAAGCTGCTGGAATCCGGAGAGAGTCATATAACAACTAGAGTGATGGGAACATTTGGGTATAATAACATCTTTTCTTTTGATCTTTTCTAATCTTGATCTTTTTCAGTTTTGTCTGTTAGTGGTTTTTCGTAATATGGTCATCTTTGTGGACTTCAGGTACGTGGCCCCTGAATATGCCAATAGTGGCTTGTTGAATGAAAAGAGTGATGTTTACAGTTTTGGTGTTCTTCTCCTTGAAGCTATCACTGGAAGAGATCCTGTAGACTATGGACGTCCAGCCAAAGAGGTATTTAATTTAGTCGTATACTCTGGTAATTACATCTAAATTTTAAAAAATAAGTAAAATGATGTATAACTGGCGTGTAATGTGCAGGTTAATCTTGTTGAGTGGCTGAAAATGATGGTTGGAAACAGGAGAGCTGAGGAAGTTGTTGACCCTGACCTTGAAATTAAACCCGCAATTCGTGCCTTAAAGCGTGCCCTTCTTGTTGCCCTTAGGTGTGTTGATCCTGATTCAGAAAAACGCCCAAAAATGAGTCAGGTTGTTGTAATGCTTGAAAATGACGAGCTTCCGGTAAGCTTCCATCTCACTCTACTGAATTTCTTTAGGCTACTAATTGGCTACCTAAAACGGCCATCGTGAGATTAATAAGATATATTTGTAATGTGTACTTGTTTATCATCTTATCATAAATAGACTAGAAAACAGAAATGGCCGTAGAACATTGTTGTTTTCTCTTTCCATTTGTTTGCCTTTCTTCATAAATATATATATATATATATATATATATATATATATATATATATAAATAATCTGTTGTAATGTCCTTACTGTAATTGCATTCTGTTTTAACTGAGCGCTTTCCCAAAAAATGCATTTAGTAGTGTTACGGTTGTTACTATCTGTTAGTTATGAAAGGAATGAACCACTTGAAACATAATTACACTGCCTAGCATCATCATATCCATGGCTGGTAACTGAGTGTATATACAGTTAAGACTGGTGAATGAATATACGCGAGTTGAACTAACCGACCAATTTATCAGCTACATATTATATTTTCCTGTGATTCCAGCTCCTACAAACAAAATAATGAGTCTTCTTTACACAATGAAAGCGATTAGTTTACCTAGTGACTACATTCGAGATTTAATCGCTATAAAGTAAAATTAAAAGTAGTAAGAGGGAGAAGTTACATTGTGTGCAGGAGCGGAGGAGGCGGAAAAGCCAGACGAGCAGCTTGGAGATTGAAAAGGAGAGTTTTGGTTCGGCCGAGACCGAAAGCATGGATCCCGACCCACTTACACATTGACCTCTTTTTCGAAGCTCTCCGCACAAATTTCGACTATGAAGTATTCACCAGTGTGATTAGAACAAATCTTGCATGCCTGGCAGCTCATGAGAGAGAGAGAGAGAGAGAGAGAAAGAGAGAGACTTGTTTTTGTACAGTGTGTTTTGTTTGTGGATAACCATTATGATGATGTTCATTCTTTTTTGTAGGGTTCTTTGAATTTTTGCCTGGTTGCCTGTGTTAGGAGACAAATTTATGTGATCATTTCAATTGTGCAACCTTTCCTTATACAGCAATGACTTGTTAGCACACCTACTATTATCAATTTCACTCTTCCGTAATTATACTTTTCAAAGGAAAAATGTGCTTCTAATTTGAAATAGTTGTGTGCATTTATTTAAGAATCTCCTAAGTGCGATATGATTTTGAAAAATGTTTGTGAAGCATTCAGTAGCACCATTTGAAGACTACAAAGGAACCCATTTTGCAGATGCTAGAAAACATTATAAGTTATGTCAGAAGAGACATGGTAAAACTTATATTTTAAAATGGATGAAGTATGCGTATAAATAATATTTCAGACTATTATATATTATAAAATAAAAGTATAAGATTAATAATAAAATTACTTTTAAGTATTATTTTTAAATTAATTCGTATTTATCCACCGACTTAATTTATTTATTCTATATTAATTTCCATGCGACTACGCATGACATAAGTACATATAATTAAAAAATATATAATATAGTTTTAGGAATCTCAAATGACGATAATTGACGAGGTTTGCAGTTGTGATTCGCATGAAAAAATTCCGTTTGTCCATAAACCGAGATTCACGGGTTAGGATGCTGCTCATCCGAAAATGGGTGTGGATTATATTCCTATCCACGATGTGTGTGTGTATAAATGACATGGTTGAGAGCAAACACAAAAAATTTTGAAATTATTTATAAGTGAAATAAAGTAAGAGAACCAAATCATGAAAAGATGGATAAAATTTGAGGTCTAATAAAATTTATTTACCAGAGGAAAATAAAATCAAGATAAAAACAATGTAAATTGTACTCCACTCCCTCGTCCAAAATTAAGTGGCGTCTTAAGTTCAGAGAGTCCAAAGATCATTACCGTTTTAATTGGATTACTACCTTGCCTAAAGTAATAAATCTTGATTAGCACTTCAAGAACTAGTGACATCTCGCTTGACCTACCCAACATGCCATTACTTGCTATTACCAACTAAATAGTTATAAGAAATATCCCCTCTTAATATAATTTGAAAACGTGTTGAGCCTAAATCACTGCTTCGCACGCTTCGGAAGCTTACTTGACAACATTACATAGGGCTTTTGGTTCGGATACATTCCCTAATTGTTTAAAATAGAATACTTAATAAATATGATTTTTATATGTCGTGTAAATCCTCCAACTCCAAATTAAATAGGATTCTTTATCTTATAAAGCTACTTCCCAAATAAATAAGATATTCTTATATGACAGTGTAAATTCTCCAACTCCAAATTCTTATCGTATAAGGCTTCCCAATAAATAGATTCTTATATGCCGTGTAAATCCTCCAACTCCAAATTCTTATCCTAATAAATAGATTCTTATATGCCGTGTAAATCCTCAAACTCCTCCAAATTCTTATCCTAATAAATAGATTCTTATATGCCGTGTAAATCCTCAAACTCCAGATTCTTATATGCTGTAAATACTCAAACTCCAAATTCTTATAGTGTAAAGCTTACCTGACAACATTACATCTTAGGATTCTTATCTTGTCGTGTAAACCAAAATAAAAAAAAAAAAAAAAATTAGCTTTATATATTATTTTATTTATATAATTAATGTAAACAATAATTTTTTTTATATAGTTAAAATTGAAAAAATACTATAATTTTACAAAAAAATATATAGCCACTTGCATATTATATCTTTTCAATCCAACCATAAATAAATTATTTAAATCTTTTTAGAATATCTATAAAAATACATTGAAATAGTTATAGAATATTATATGATCTTTCTAATATATTTTAAGGAGTTGAAATAGTTATACAACAACATATGTATTTTTTCTATTATTTTATTATAATTTGAAAACGTACTGAGCCTAAAGCTTACTTGCCAACATATTTTCTATTATTTTATTATAATTTGAAAACGTACTAACCCTAAAGCTTACTTGACAACATTACATGCTTTCGGCTTTTGGTTCGGATACATTCTCTAATTATTTAAAATAAAATACTTAATAAATAGTATGTTTATATGCCCGGTAAATCCTCCAACTCCAAATTCTTATCGTATAAAGTTTACTTGACAACATTACATCTTAGGATTCTTATCTTGTCGTGTAAACCAAAATAAAACAATTTAGCTTTATATATTATTTTATTTATATAATTAATGTAAACAATAACTTTTTTATATAGTTTAAATTAAAAAAATACTATACTTTTACAAAAAATATATAGTCACTTGCATATTATATCTTTTCAATCCAACCATAAATAAATTATTTAAATATTTTTAGAATATCTATAAAAATACATTGAAATAGTTATAGAATATTATATGATATTTCTAATATATTTAAAG